CTACTTTTGATGAACAACCACCATCAGAAGAAATTCCTGTAGAAGCTACTTTTGATGAACAACCACCATCAGAAGAAATTCCTGTAGAAGCTACTTTTGATGAACAACCACCATCAGAAGAAATTCCTGCAGAAGCTACTTTTGATGAACAACCACCATCAGAAGAAATTCCTGCAGAAGCTACTTTTGATGAACAACAACAACCACCATCAGAAGAAATTCCTGCAGAAGCTACTTTCGATGAACAACCACCATCAGAAGAAATCTCTGCAGAAGCTACTTTTGATCAATCACCATCATCAGAAGAAATTCCTGCAGAAGCTACTTTCGATGAACAACCACCATCAGAAATCTCTGCAGAAGCTACTTTTGATGAACCACCACCATCAGAAGAAATTCCCGCGGAAGCTACTTTTGATGAACCACCATCAGAAGAAATTCCTGCAGAGGCCTATCCATCAGAAGATACTCCAGCTGAAGCTACATTCGATGAACCAATGCCACCATCAGAGGAAATCGCTGCAGAAGCTACTTTCAATGAACCTCCAACAGAAAAAATCCCTGCAGAAGCTACTTTTGCAGAAGCACCTCCATCAAATGAAATCCCTGCAGAACCTACTTTTGAAGAACCTTCTCCATCAGAAGAAATTCCACCAAAAGTAACATGCGACGCTGAGCCAACACCAGAAGCATCAATTGAAGAACCCTCATCACAATATGAAATTCCACCAGTAAAATTTGATGAAGCACCCGCTCCATCTGTAGGACTCACTCCAGAAGTAACAGAAGAGTCCTTTCCACCAGAGTCATCAGATGAACTATCAAATGATACATCAGAAGCATCACAAGCAAGTGTTAAAGCAGGGGAGACACCAATGTCTAATTCAGAAATGGACGAAACAGCTTTTCATCCTTTGCCTGAGCAGCTTAAAGCAATGGCAGAGGAAATGAACTTAAACATCAAGGAGTCATCTACTGTAGAAGAACAGGAATCGTCTGTAGGTGTACCTTCCCAAAAAGAATTGCCTACTCCACCATCTGAAGATAGGTTGGTTTCTGATGAATCTGTCACTGTTCCAGCAGAAACTGCTCCTATAGTTGCTAGTCCATCAGAACCTGTTGTTGCTGCTCCTCCAGTAGCCACTGAAAAGAAAAAAACAGCTGCCAAGAATGCCAAAACCTCAAAGGGTGTGTCAAAGAAAACAACAACAACTACAGTGAAGAAGACATCAGAGAGGCGGTCTCCTTCCCCAAGAAAGACGGCGACAAAGTCTGATGAAAGAGTAAACAGTGATCTTTCAAAGAAAAAAGGGCCTGCAAAATCCAATGTTCTGAAAGATAAGAAAAGTGACCAAGGGAAGACTCCAAAGAAGGAGGTTGCAACAGCTAAAGAAAAAAGAACCACATCAGTTACAACTACTGTTAAGTCAGAGAGGAAACCTAGAAATGGATCACCAAAGCAACCATTGAATGGGTCATCTAAAAAGTCCTCAACAGAAAAAAAATTAGATACAACAAAGAGTAGAAAAGCTCCAGAGAAAAGGCCAATTTCAAGTCCACGAGAGCCACCAAAGAAGACCAGTGATTCTTCCAAAAGACCAGCTTCAGCTCCAGGTGCCAGGAAAGCAGATCCAACCAAAAAGAAACCATTAGAAAATAAACGACCAACATCTGGTACCAGAGGTGCCAAATCTGATGGCAAGACATCATCTGCAGGGTCTTCCAAATCTGTCCCTGCAACAGGACCACCGGTCTATGTCGATCTTGTATATGTCCCTAATCATGCTAGCAAGGAAAACACAAATGTTGAATTCTTCAGACGCATTCGTGCAAAGTATTACGTTGTCAGTGCAAATGATAAAGGACGTCACCAACCAAACATGGGTGTTCTTGATGCTTTGCTTGAAGGTAAACTGCGATGGGAAGAGCCTGAGCAAGACGTCATCATCATTCCAACTTATCCTACGACCACTCTGCGAGAATGGCAAATTAAGAACCGTAATGAGCTTCTTGACAACCACATCATGGTTTCTCAGCCAGCTAGTGATAGTGTGGTGCAAATGAAAGATGAAAGCTTTAATATGTATAAAGTGGAGTTTTAACTTGGTTGCATGTTATGCTTCTTTCGAACCGGGGGGGCTCCTGTCTTAAAACCTTGGCCTGATATGCTCAGTTAGTTTTCATGCTATTGCTGATGTGAATTATTATTTGTTACTTTACTGAAAACTGCCAGGAATGAGTTTGATGGTTAGTCACAGCCTATATGCGAGTAAGTGATTTGATTTTATAGTGAATATATGAAGGCAGATATTTTTTTTTAGTGCTTTCTGATGTATCATATCTGTATGAAGTCTGTTTGGTGCTAAGACGGTTGTTACTAAGATTGGTGCTTGTTGTGAAAGGCTATTTGGGAATCTTTGCAATTGTTGCTATGTTTTACCACAGATGGCAAGTGCTTTTATCTTACATTAAAAGCATTTACTTAAACAGCTTCAATCTTAGCTTGTTTTTTTTGTTAAGTTTTTTTTTTTGCTTTTGAATAACAGTATATAGTGAACCAAGGTGTATTTTTTTTTTGGTGGAGATGTTAATTTCCATTCTTCGAAGAAAAAAAAATCATTATTCATTTTATTAAGAATAATTCATAGATGATTAAGATGTTTCTTCTAATTGATTTACAATTAATCTAGTTGATTGATTAGGATTACTCCTAATCTGCTGATATTGATCAGAACAGTGTCAGCTGTCATACGGTTTTGATTTATTATTATCACTCTTAACGAATATGTACTTTAGACAGAAAGTAATGTTTTTTTCTTTTTCCTGAATTCAAGTATTTTAAACACTCTTGTCCTCTTTAGGTTGGAAGTGATTGATATGTGGACCTCAAATAGAACCAATAATGTTATGAAATCTATCTTATTACGTATGTGATATCTAAACATTTTGGTTCTAGAAAAGCAAAAAAGTGAAATTTTGCAATTTCCCTGCAGATGAAAGATCATCTTATTTTTAAGCCAGTAAGTTAACCTCTTTGACAACTAATCTAATTTTGACCACACTGACATCACTTCTGCTGAAGTAGTTTCCAACTGCTTGACATTTGGCCTTTGTTGTAGTTTATATATTTTTAATATTTTTGTATCATATTTTGTTGCCAAAGAAACTTTGTTTTGTTTTCTATTCTTCTTTACTTGTTCAGATATTATTATTCAGTTTTAATTTTTATTTTTGTAAGTGCGCAGACAAAATATGTTGCATTTTTGGTGAGAAATTAGATTCCCGATAAGAGACATTATCGGTATGTTCTTTATACAATCTATTCCAGGTCAAAAACATTTACTTTGGTCATTCGATGTAATCACAATAAGACGAAGTGCAAGTTGTGATAAAACAAAATAAACAAAATGTAAATGTTGACAAATTTAATTATTTTAGACAGTTTTTCAAACTTATTTATAAGGGTAACTTTGTGTCAACAATTTCGTAAAAATGCTGTGGCAGTTGAAGGTCAAACTGGGATTTGGAATGAAATTACTTATAATGTCTCTTTGATAGAAAATAAGCCTTGAATGAATGGTTATGCAAAAACGACAGTGCAATAGTATGAACTCGTAGAGAAAGGCATATTTGGCATTTACCTACAGTAGCTTGCATGTGGCCTGATGCACATTCCGCTTGTGTGTCAAACAGACATCAACGCCTTTGATGTATGCTGCCAAGAGATTCATAAGAACAGCATTGTTCTGTCATTTTATATTATATTATATTATAAAATGTAAAGATTTTTGGAGTATGAATTAATTTTTTGTTTTAAAAGCAGCATTTTTGTTTTGTTTGTGCTTTAATTGTCTGGCCTGATTCGTCAGTTTCAACAGCAAGGTACGGTTATCGTGATCTCGACAGACGCAACATTTTCCAAATATTATAAATTATTTTAAAAGATACTTTCATTATTGTCAAATTTGTTGCATTGAGAAAAGTGTTTGATATTTTAAGCTACAACTCTTTACTACAAGCAGAACAGATTATTGACTGTCGGATATTTTATACACAAAATGTAACGCCAGTTCAGCTATAGATGCCTTGTAGTGTAGGAGCTTTAAGGAGCTCACAACAGACACTGGGAAAAACCGATTCTGTTATACATTCGCCGAACAGTCTGGTTACGTAAAGATAAAACTGGTGGCGATTTTTAATTTGAATTGACCTGACTAACATAGGATCATTTCAAAACTGATCCAGTTTTACTTTGGAAGCAAATTTAAAGGATTTACATTTTGAATAAGGAAATTTCTCTTCGGTAAATTGTCCATGCGGTTGTAACCAATAGGGGGGTTATTGTATAGGATCGGATCGGTATTTTGCCAATGCTAAATAACCATTTCATTTACACTTTGTATCACTATTAGAAATGTTACTACGTATTCGATTTCTACGTTACTGTACTAAGTCGTTATATGCAGTCAGTCAATTGCGTACATAGACATGGAGGGCACTATAAGACAGGGGTTGCTGGTCTTTAGCTGAGTTGTAATCAGCATAGAAAAACAAGAAAAGTGGTAATTTTGTTGATGTGTATTTCTGAAATGCAACAAAACTACTTTATTTCCAAAAGAATGCCCTCTATTGTTCTTTCAAGGTGGGCATATCCGTTAAATAGTTACATTTCTTGTGTGTAGTTTTTACATTTAGACATATCTTCAAATCATGATTTTTGCTGCTGCACAAACGCAATGCTAGCATAACCAAATTTACAGCTCTTTGTACTTCCCATACAGAATGTGCTGCTGTTTTTTGCATGTGAAACACACACACACACACGCACACACACAGACAGACAGACAGACAGACGTGCATACACACGGCAATTGACTGCAATTTTTAACTTTTCTGGAATACCTTTAATTATCTAATGACAAACATTTTAGAACGACGGAAAACATCCTAGAGCAATAACTGTCAATTTGAATGAAGGTGCAATGTGGAATATTCATGTAAATATAAAATCCATTGCAGTTTAATGTGTTCATTTCAATTTAATGTGTTCATTTCAATTAACCTTTTTCAAAGGAAAGGTCAACTTTATAGCCTATTTCACGACAAAGCTGCCATCTTTAATTCTATTTAAAAAAAAATGTGATACCTGAATTTTAAACAATAATTATTTAAAATTGGTGTGTAGTATTATGTCAATATGGACCAAAATTAACATTGATGTGAGATGTGGGTTTTTAATGATATTGCAGCAGCTCAAAAATATATCTTCATATCAGTTGTCCTAGCAACATTGGTTGATTCCTTCACTAGTTAAAAACTCGCATTAGTGGACAGAACCATTTTGTCGAAAGGTTGGTTGGCAAAAATGTTGCCAGGGAAACCACATGGAAGATTGCAGTTTTTAGCACCTGCAGTACTCTGTATGACAATTATTCTTATTACATTACACATACTTATTGTGGTTCGCTTTCAACCAAGATATTGTCTCAGCTACATCTATCAAAAATTATTTATGTTCTGAAATCTCAGTATATTGGAGACACAGAGGACAGCCTATCACAGAAACAAGTAAAATTTGATTGTGATTGACATTACTATAGGGTTCCAACTATTCAACAATACAATTCATTGAGCCAAACTATCAAACTATTTTCTCTATCCACGTTTTTCAGAATCATAACACGTACCTGTTTATTCCCTGTTGCAACCTTAATTCAAAATTGACATGTGTTGAATTCTTATTCCCAATTCTTATCAATATACCATTTATACACTACTACTGAAGCTGGAATACAGGCTTGTAAACGTATAGGTTCATAACCTTGCAGTACAGGTCTGAATTACCAGATGAATAATTAAAATCATTTTCGGTATTGAAAATGAAATTTTGTCGCAGTAGTAGTTTTACTGATGTTTTTTAGACACTGACTTTCATAAAACATAGTCGTCACAGATTCCATTAAAATATTCACAACTTGAACTGTTATGTGTAATTTACATTCTATTAATTTGACATGTGTAGTACTGGATTAGAGTTGCTTATATAACAATCACGCGAGTCAAAAATTGCAGTTATTGTACCAGTATACTCGATCTCTAAAATATGGCTTAATTTGACCATAGGCGCATCATTTACGTAAAATGCATGTGCTATACGATATTCTCTTTAATTGCTATGTGAAACCAAACAAGTAATGTTTAGTAAAACTGCTATGCATCAGCTCCTATCATGGGGCATAGTAAGAAGATGCTTTTGTAATTTATTCCATCAGTTCAATTCTGTAATGTTGATTAAAAAAACTGTGTGCTCGAAAGCATGTTTTGTTTTACTAAACAGCAGACACATTTTGAATACTTAGAACAGGCTTTATTTTTTCCCAGTTTCTCATTGCAAACCTGCCACAACATAAACAAAGAAACATGAGTATTGAAAAAAAAAACTGAACTATATATAAAGGTTTTTAATGTGTTTGAATTTACAAAAAAAAAATTGTGGTCACTTGCATTGTGAGAAGCCAAGAAAAAAAAAAAAGTTGCTCTGTACTTTACCAAACATGTATCATTGTCATGTTCATGAATGAAAGTGTATGTCATTTTGTTTACCAGTGTAATTTTTTTTTTTTTGATATGTGAATTTTTTCAGCCAGCTGTATTTCTCGATGTATGAATATTATCTTAAAAGAGAAAATATCTGTATGGGACTCTGATGTGTCTGCGTGTTTATTTAACATTTGTAGTACTTCTGTTAATGTAGATTGGATCGACCTGTTAGTATGGCTTAGGCAGCTGCAATAATGACACAAAAGTGTTGCAATGCATATTTAAATTTTGTGAAGAAAATGTATGTATGTTGCGTGATGTCAATTGTCAGTGTAGATATTGTTCTTCACCCAAAAATTCATTTGAAGTTAGCTTACATAGACTAATCATATATATGAACATAGCATAGTTACCTAACATAGACTAATCATATATATGAACTGACATAGCATCGTTTATTGCATTAAAGGGCGGCAGTCGTTACGCTGTGCATGCGCGAGATATAAGGGTCTCGTATAAATAATGATGGCAACTTTGACTTGCTCAGATTAACGAGTACAAACTGAGACGTTACCAAGCTTTATGTATTTTTGTATGTGATTGGAAGGTATCGAAGGAGTCACTGGTGGTAATTGGTGCAAGTCACGCCCTGTGATTTCCATTAGAAGAGCGCATTGGACTAGGAAAATCAATGTTTATGAACATAAATGTCGGCAACGAGCACGCCATTTAATGTTAGTTTTGTTTGAGCTTCACTTTGAAAAAAAAAAAAAAAGATGATAAATATGCCATAAATTAAATTAATTACATTCGTACATGGTTGATGTCATCCATTAGTGCTATGATTTGTGGTAATATTCAGATATCATTGTTAGTGCCTGATATATCCAGTTATTCTAAGTCTGTGTACAATAAACCTTGAAAGATCAAAAGGTATCCAGTATATTTGTATTACAATCTTGTAATGAGGTAGAAATGATACAGATGAGTATGCAGGGGGAATATGGCTTCTTAGTAAATAAGTCTGGTGATCTTGACCTAATATGGGGGGTAAGACAACCTCAGTTGATCTTGCATCTTTGTAAAAAGTCAAGCGATGACCCAATGAAAAGACGTTCTGACACTGGTTTTATCCCTGATTTTATTTGCATATTATAATATTCATATTTACTGATGAGTGAAGAGATTGGAGATAAAAGTACTTTTAGTGGGAAATTTTTTTTGAAAATCGAACCTTAATGGTAGAATGAACTCACGTTTATTATATTGCAGTTATATCTGGACAATATTGTTCGGTTTGCTTATATTTTGTAACGAAACGTAGATGTGACTGCTGCCCTCTATGTATGGTAGCGTTGACTTTCAGTCGGACGACAGCGCCACCAGTGTTTGAAACTTGGGGTAGATTGCGATGTGTCACAATGTTCCTTTTTTGCTAGGTACTTGTGTTCAATATTGAATACGCATGATTCTAAAAACGGTAATGTCTGTCCCCTTATGTTCTCAACCCCAACCTAATGGTTTATAGTCCCATGTTAAACCGATCGAACTTGAGTGTTCAATTTTGAAGCGGATTTCCAAATTCATTCATTCGTGGACTACAGTATTCTCTTATTTTAAAATAGACCCCGGGGAAATAGACACTAATTTTTCATGTGCATATGTGTAATCACAGTCCCTCTGGTGTAATGATTAAATGAAAATATGAATATATGAACTAGATGCAATTAAAAATAGCCGTAACTATGAAATAGGGGGTAACATACTGTGGAAAATAGTACTTTAATAGCTATCGGGGATGTATTGTATTTGTTGAAATTCTGCTATTATACTTATCGTTGTGCATTTTAGAATGACGTTTCAGTATGCTTACTCGTAATTTTAAGCCTATTTAATTCTGATTGTACAACAGTTTGTACAGTTCTGAGCTAAGTCTGTCACTCAACAATAAAGACTCGCTCCGTGTGAGGTCGGTGGTCATGACGACGAGTTACAGACCAGATTGGCTCATTTGCATAACAAACGGAATTAATAATGAGAAATCACGCAAACTCAGTTCTATGCTCGACCACTGAAGTATGTTTCGTTGGTCACGCTGTAGTTTAGGATTTCTCGTTCTGTTGCCGGTAATAAGGTAAGAAATAATCAAACTGATAACGACTGGGTGAATTGGAAATATTGTGGCTGTCGCGTCAAGTTGTCGTTAACTGAAACCAGTACCCATATCCCATCACTATTCAATCCCGGATACCGAGTTCACTTTCTTGGACTTGTGCCACACAGTCGGGAACTGTGTGTTTCGCTACTATCCCAGCTTGTTGGACTCGGTTGTGTCCTCGACCCGATGGTGTCATACTTCCATCGTCGGCGTGGGTCAATGATTGTGAGGTACACGAAGTCCGTGCTGCTATGTGTGGCACACTTCCGAGTAACCTTGCATGTTGGTGGCCTCAAACAACGTTCAACGTTCAAGTAGCCTGTATAAATATTGTATCATCTGGTTGGCGACCAGTCACACGTCGCTTCACCGTCCTCGGGCCTCTCTAACCCCGGGTTCCATGCCTCGACGCATATCAATACCGTGGCGTTGGAAACCAGATTTATTTTTAATTTTCCAATTTACGAGTCGTGAATCGGATCACAGGTTTGTATGCCGTACTTGGGTTGTGTAAGTGTGTAATTTGCAGCCACTGTTTTGTGTGATCGAATCTTAAGAAAGGGTACCATTAAAACAACAATAGTGTTGTTATTGCCGTCTCTTTGAATAACGGTAAATCATGACTTCGTTTTATTCGGGTTCGTTTTGTAAAGATTTCACCAATCTTTTGTAGTTGTTTTGTATCGTAGATAACTACAATTAATTTGACTCCGTGAAAATTACTACATTACTATCGCACTGCGTGAAAATATGTATTGGCAGCTTGTTGTCACGATACGATAACATGCATTGCTACTTGGGTGATAACGTCCGGTTGGAAGGGCTCACAACACAAACCGCACCAGTATGTAATTTGAACCGCCACAATTCCTTTATCAAACGTTTTTTTTTAAATATAATCACATGCTAATAATATTTAAAATTATTTTCTAATTCTTTTATTTATAAAAAAAAAAAATCCAACAACTTCTGGCAATCTTGTCATTTCCTTGCTACATGAACTTTAATTACATTGGTAATATTATTTCTATTTTTGTCATAAGCCGATTGTTTTTGTAAGTATTAGAGAATTTTTTTTCCTGTCAAAATTGTGGATACAAATATTTTTATGTTTTCTGTAATGTTCGCTAATTTAGATGTTAATTTTGGGCTGAAAACATAAGAATCTGTTTTTTTAAAGTCTTGATCAAAATTTGTGAAAATTGTTATTGGAAGTGAGTAAGCAATCCAACTAAAATTTTTAAGGGTTGAGTAAAAAAAAAGTATATTTTTCAGTAATAAATGTGTTAGTTTTTTACTACAATGCATTAAAAATATATTGTGTATTTTTTCTAGGTAATAAATTTCAGACTGCCTTAATCAGTACATTGGTAATTTGAATTGGTGGTTACCATGGTGATATTAAGTGGTTAAGGTCAGAGGTGGGCAATTGATTTCTCAAAATATATTGCTTTTAAATCACTTAAGAGTTGTCAGAATAACATTAGTGAAATACATACTGTGTACTTGCTGTGTGTGTTTTTTTTCCTGGAAAAAAATTGTCGTTTCTTAAGAAAAAAAAAGTGTGACTTCTATCAAATATATTTCGTATTGAAACACAATATTTGTGTTGTTAATAATGAGCATACACATAGATATCATAATATCCTTTTATTACTTGTTGTTTTATAAATGGTCTTGTGATGGATGAACCAAAACTGCCAATTTTCAATTACCGGTAGCATATTGGTTGTAGCTTTAGACCCATGATAGGTAGACCTGAGTTCAAATCTTACCTGAAGTTGAATAATTAAAAAGTCTCTCCACTTCTACCCTTGTTGAGTTTGCCACAAAATCCACAGACCCAATACGAAAGACTTAAATTCACTGATCGAGTTTCATTCACTAACGAATGCGACTTTGGGGGAGCCATGATTGAGGTCCTCAGGTTGACGCCATGATAGTGCATTAAATTGCCATAATGCCATTCTGATAGGAAGATGATCACACAGCTCTGTCACAAACTGTAATATGGTCTATGTGACAAAAATGCACTCTATGTCATCGCTTGCACTTGCAAAATGCACATAAAAAAATCTGGAGAGAAACAATGACATTCAATGTTCAGAACTGTCGCCCTTCACACAAATTAAATAAAAAAAAAATATTTTCAGTCTTGTCACTATTATTATTGGGTTCAATTAACATATTCATAACACATTTTTATGTATTTTGTCTATAATTTTGTTGTTAATTTTGGACCAAATGATCATATTTTTTCATTCGTTAAAGGTCTTGATTCGATTGGAATTCGAGGACACCCAAGAATGCACTGGTAAGTTCCTTTGTAATTACATAGTCTGCATAGAATTCTGCATGGCTTCAGTGCATTACCATGGGAACATGCATGCACAGACTGACCTGTGAGTAAGGCCCACCCACAATACTTCAGACTGATTCACTAGTCTATTATTCAATTGTCTCACAATTATATATGGCTAGGTCTTCATTAAAAATACAGCAAAATTATGCAAGTTTTAATATTTTGTCAAAGGTGACAAAATTTGTTATTTTGTATTATATCTTTATTTTTCTAAAGTTAGAACACTGATCAAAAATAAGAAATATTGTCATTTTCCATATTTTTACATATTTGATATATCAAATATTAAGAAAATGAAAATATGGGGTCTCCGTTCTCAGTTCAGTGAAAATCGATGAATAAAATACAATGAACAAAGCATGTTTTAGGGCATTTTAAGGTTGTTTCCGATGGCAAGGATATATCTCAAAATTATGCTCAGTTACATATGGTGGAATAAGATGTATAGTGTCTTACAAAGCACTTTTTGATGTCTTAAGGTATTAAAAAATTGACAATATTTATAGTGGCTTTTTAATGGAAACTGCTGCTAAAATGGCATTTTATTCCTATTATTGTACCATTCTTCTCAAAAATCAAATTCAAACCAAAAAAACAAATAATTGTAGACAGATTTTAACAAAAAATATTGCTAGTGCTTTATACATGTATGCGCTAAAAATGTGCACATGTAGAAAATACACAAGTAGCATTCTATGCGGTGGTTATTTTGTGGCGCTTTGTGTATCCGCAAGACAGCGGCCCAATAAATTATTGCACAGACCAGTTAAAATAAATGCTACTAAGCTTTACCTAGGCTGTCAAAGAACAAAATTGGTATTTTATAATGAATATCCCAGCCAAGTAAAAACTTGCAACCATGCTTGCCCCTGGGGGTGCATTGGGTTGTAAATTAAATCCCGCAAATGCATGGGACTACGACTTCTGATCTTTAAGCCCATAGACATTAATTTCATATCATTCACCGAATGCAACACTTGAAGTAATAGTTTGCAAGTTATTCTGATGAAAAATTTCTCACTTCTGAACTGACAACTCCATATATTCATTTGTAATTGAGTTTTCAATGCCATTAAGGGGCTATCAATTTACTGATTGGTACCAAGGATGTGTGTTTGTCAGTTGGTTATTTCTCTTTGGCAAGCGTCCAATTAAAAACAGTCAAGCCTTGATGAGATTTATGTTGCCCATACCAGAAATAACATACTAAGCAACAGAATCAAGTACACATTTAACTTAGATAAATCTTGAATCTGGTTCATTGCTCAAAATTCATATAAAGTCTTTCAACAATATAAATTCAAGGCTATAAATTACTCCCCCTAGAGGTAGGTATTGTCTAACTACCAAACAAGTCAGTCACACAGAGATAAATATAAAGATTTAACACTTTCAATAACACATACGTATTATACTATATTTCTTACTAAAAAAACAAATCATTTTTGATGAAATAATGGCTGCATGTCTGCTCATGTTGTCTTCGTTGTGTGATTTTGTTTGTTGTTGTCAGGTCGTGAACATCATGATACTCGCACATCATGGTGATTAGATTGCTCCTGCTTGATGCTGTGAACTGTAATCAAAACTTGTTCTTTTCTTCTTAAAGGTGTATTTCTTTAAAGTAATAGTCATTTTAGTTATGAAGATTATTTGGTCGGTTGCCCGGCAATAAATCTGACAAAAATCATTACATTACAAGACACATTTAGCAGGCATAAGAATTAAGGCCTGGGTAGAGGTTCCGGGGCTGGACCTAATTTTAATTTTAGTTAGGCCGTCGTCGTAACTACAGTATGGACAAGTGCCAGATTACATAATCATGACTATCAATGACTAAATATGCAAATCAGGTTCATGAGCTTAGTTGAACAGTCTCGCAACCTTGTGTCGCAACAACAATGGCTGTATGTACGATAGGATTCAATTTTACTGTCGAGAATCATTGATCATTATATGGACAGATGTCCAATTGCAACACAAAAAGATCACAGCCATGTTAGAGTATACTGAAATAGAAAGTACGGCAGCACAAATGAAATGGAAGTTGAGACTTCTGTGGTTGGATTTTAAAGCGATAGTTGACAACAACAATCGAAGTGGCCGAAAGAGAAGGTCTTGTGATTTTTACCAATTATTGTCTCATTCTAGCGTCAAGTCTTGACTCTGTCGCTGAGTTTCAATTCAACATTTCGAAACAAACCATATCGTTTGTGGCCATTCTCCCCAACTCAAAATAATTGGGAGAACTCTCAATTTAGGTCCACCATTCCGATGATGCAAAATATGTCTTCGTCGAAATTTGCTACGTAAATACAGAAAAACTCTGAGGAGAAACAACATGTTGAGGTCCGCCATGTTGGACACTTCTGACATAAAAAAATCAGCATTCCAAAGAAAAGATGCTATTAATATGGACTTGTTGACTTTTGTAGGTTAATATTTTAATATATGATTGGTGGGATTAGCTAATGGGCTTGAGATGGGTATTTTGTTACAGATCTTAATGTAGAAGCAACACAATCAAGCTATTGTTCCTCAGTAAAATATTAACTTTAAGTATAGTTTATTTATTTTTTATTTAATAGGTATGGATGGTGACATGTAGTTGCGAAGACACCGACGTCTGGAATATGAATTTACGCTAGTTTCTAGTGGACAATGTAGCTGTATTCAAGAACACGATAGTTAAAAATTTACGATGGCAAAACAGGGGAAAATCAGCAAAGATAATTCCGTCATGGATTTAGCGGTGGAAAAATTACGACTTAATATCGGTACCGTGAGAGAAGGAAGCGGTATTAAGAATAAACGATCATTTGAATTCAAAATGTGCAAGAAAGTTGCAGAATTGACACAGGTGGTTCATATGTTATTCACCAGGAACCATGAAAAGGAAGTTGAAATAGAGGCAATAAAGGATGCATATGAATACGAGATATCTCTCGTTATCAAAGACGCCAAAGAACGGATTAATAAACTTGATAGAGAGTTAGCTGAAATCAAACAGCAAATGAGACAAGAAACTTCTCGTTTACGAGATGAAATCCGGGAACGTGTTAAGAGTTTAGAAAGTAAATATGAAAGTAAGCTGCATGAAAAAGATGCTACAATCTCTGAGTTAGAAAATGAAAACGAAGATTTAAAACAAAAACTATTGAAAGCAAAGGAATCTATAAGTAGACTAGAGAATGGTATGTCTGATGAAAGCCAGAATTTACTTAAACAAATCAAGGAAAAGGACAAGGAAATTAATCGGTTGGAAGCGATTATTTCTAATAGAGAAAAGAAACACTGTGATAAGGAAGACACAATACATGGTCTAAAGAAAAAACTTAGCAACTTGGAGGCAAAGTTTATGAATGAAATTAGTGAATTGAACCGATCATTAGTTGAAAGTAATGAAATTAGAGAAAATCTTAGTCAGAAAAATAAACAATTAGAAGATGATGTGAAAATGTTGAAGAAGGAGCTGCGTAAAAGAATCAAAAGTAGTGGTAATGACAGAAGCTCAGTCGTCAGAACTCAAAGTGCTTGGGTGAGTATCTACCTGTAGTGTTTAATTAATTAGTGATCACATATTTCATTTGCATTTGTTGTCTTTATTTCCTCATAATTTCCATCAAGGTATTTGCGAGTAAAAAATATGCTGCTCACCCCCACCCCCACCCCCCACCACCCCCCCTGAATATAAACAATGAAAATAAGGTGAAATCAAATTTGGTATTTTTTTATTGTGGAAAATTAAATTATCATCTAAGAAAATAATTACCGTATTTGTTCTAAACAAAAAAAATTGCATTTATTTTATGCTGGATCATTGAAATGTAATATACTTTGACCAGAGAGATCTTCCTGTCATTTACCTATAAAGTGCATACGCTACTAATAAAGTAAATACGGTGGGCAGATAAATTATTGATTTTCATGATCACGTTAAATCAGTTTATTTTTTGTGTGTTTGTGTCACAAATATTTTCTCATTTCCTTCCCTTTTAATTTCCTGATTCAGAATTTTAACTAGTTTTGTTGCCAAAATTATTAGGATGATAGCTTTTTAGGAATTATGGGTAATTGCACTTTTAATACATTTTGGCAAACACAAAGGAACAAACAACAAATACCATGCCTGACCAAATATCTACAAATTGGAAACCAATTTGCATTCCAAGAGAAAGTAATTCTGATGGATTCTGATAATTTTTTTTTTTTTTGGAAAATAAATTGATTTTAAAATGGAATGATTTAAAAAAAGCGAGATTTGAATACATGTACTGTATGTGTTCTATTAGAAGTGCATTTCAATAGAAGTGTTTGTAAGTAAACAAACATTTGCATTTATTGAATTATGGATCATTCAATAATATAACTTATGATAGTCACACCCGTGTCTTTTACATATGCATATCTAATAGAGCAAACGAAGTAATTATTATGCATCTGGCAAAGAAAAACAATGAAATTCGTCTTTCCGTAAAAGGCTTTAGGGATGTATTTGGTGCCCTCCTCCTCATATTTATGTCACATTTAAAAGCTTTCTATGATTACATAGGACATAGCAACAATGTAGCAATTGGCTGAGATCATGGAAGGTATTAACGTTAGTACCTTCCATGCTGAGATAGATGTCACAGAACACAAAAGATCGCACAGACACAAATATTTTTCATGAATTTTAGGTATTACTAAATTATAAATACAAGCAGGAAACGATGTATACTAATAAGGTTATTAAAAGAATACTACATGCACTCGCAGTATGCATTTGCATGGATCCCTGCTATACGACGGTAGATACTATTACCGTACTGCTTTCATGCGTACAGTGTGGAATTCTCGTAATACATGTTTCTCATATGATTTGGGCCGTAAGCTGCATGTCCTATTTTCAAAACATTTGAAGCTATACATTTTTGTTGTTGTCAAATATCACAAACAAACCCTTTTGTGATATTACCATATAATAAACCTCTTTGTAATTGAGATAAGTACACAATGAGTGCTGACCCCGATTTGTTTTCATTGGATGGTCCTAATTCAGTGTACTGCATTGTCATGTTTGTTGTGTTTTGGTCTATGGCTTATAACACACTAAGAGTGTTCAAACTCAGAAATCAGTGTGCTATGTCTACACAGTAATTCGGTGTTTAAATAACAGAATAATACAATGTACTTCACAAAGCTGTTACTCTTAATTAATTGTGAGTGTACCAGTAATATCACTAAGCAAAGTTTTACGATTTTTGTTTCATCGTCAAAATCGTCATTTTTATGTTACATAAAACCATTAGCTTAAATTGATTTAACGTATATTTGTTTACAACTGTTAATTTTTTGCAGCAAGACATGTTCACCAATTGAAAATTTAAAGTTGTAAGTGAGCATGAAGTTTTGGCAAAGTTTCTGTTGCTCCCTGTCTTTACTTTTTGAATTCCAAAGTCTGCTAGTGTTACCAGTCATAAAATAAAACAGCAAATTTGTTTTCAGATTATTTCAAAGATTATGATCAAGACCTGTATTCTGTTAGAAATGATTTCTATGTTGTATTGACATTTTGGTTACATGTAGTTGTGTGGACACCAAAGTCTGGAATAATGGATTTATGCTACATGTAGTAGCTATTTCATATTGTAGATGTATACGAGAAAACTAAAGTTAGAAATTACCATTCCAGAAATACCCGTATTCCATTAGAAATCATGTTCATGTTGTAGGGATTTTTTGGTAGGGAAAACTGTCCTTATATATTTCATGATTTTCCCGGTCTTGCAAAATTACCAAACATTTATTGAGGGGAGGCAAGGGGGGTAGCTGGTACGGCCTTACGGGAAATAAAAGGGGCTTTTTACAATTTACAAGGGAAAAAAAGACGTTTTTACAGTTTACAATGTTAAAAAATGGAACATTGAATGGTCCAAAGAGCTCTCCGACTCAAATGCTCTGCCATTACTGCGCCGTGTGAAGAGACGCATGCGCATATTACCCTCGTAATGCTCTTCATTCGGTTAGAGAGCCTTTTACGTCTTGGACATTCAATTTTGTAGTGAATTGTGTCATCTAGTCGTTTTACAGTTTCTGAAATGTAATTTCCCTGGATTATTCTTTACGATTTTTTTATTTGGATGTAAATTCTTGTACGTACCGAGAAAACACATTTTTACAGTGTACGAAAAAAATATTTGATTGATTACGATGTACGTCTAGCGTGTGATTACAGAATTACGGAATTTATTTTTTCTATTTACGTTGTACGAACAAAAAAATATTGCAATTACGTTGAACGAAAATAACCCTTGCCCCCCCCCCCCTCCCCTCTTTATTCTCTTGAAGAATTGTTTACAGTTCTCTATAATTTGTTGTTTTTTTTTGGAATTTGCATAAAATGTAAATGTAGTTGTAACTAGTTTGCAAATTTGACAGTCCCTAATATTCACAGCTGGAGTGTAGTCAAAATATCAAAATTTTTTGAAAAATTATAGATCTTAAGTATTTAATACACCATTTTTTTTTTCCACCCCACCCATTTTATATGTATTGGAATTATTTTCACTTATAATTGCTTAAACAATGCTAAACCATTTCTCATTGCAGGAACCAGTTTATTAATATCGTTATGCATTAATTGGATAATAACACATGAAGTAGCTAAATTTTTTTCTCTGAATATTGTTCATGATGCATCCAAATGCATTTGTTCGTTAACCATTCATTTTTAGTGTAAATCTGACATTCAAGTCTGTATGGCTGACAGCAAAATAAACGGCAGAGTTTGTGTTTGTGTTTTTAGTCGCACATACTGTTCATGTTTTCAATGATTTCAATGTAGGACAGTATGGCTCTACTTGACCCGGACATTATTCATTGTTTACATCACACAAACTATCACCATGGTTACAGTGAATTACCTCTATGGCTGTTAATAACATGATCTGTCTTGTGGCTGTTCCCAAACTATAGCTTCTCCCCTTTGTAGGAGACTGGGGTAAGAGACTTGAATGGAAGGGATCATCGTACCACAAGGGTAATATACAGATTAGAGACGTTCAGTTTAAAATTTTATAATTTTACAACCTGTTTGATGGCTTCAAAATTAAGCAGCGATGATTTGTCCAAATTTATATCATAGTCTGTATTGTGTATAATACTCGTACCACAAATCGATCGGAGGTTACACGGAATGAAATTTGTGAGTACAAAAGAGTGTAGTGTAAATTGTTTTTAACCCCTGCCCTGCAGATTTATTTTTAACAGTTCTCTTTTGAAAAAAAGTACAATGACAGATAAAGTGTAAACTTTTCAATAAAACTAGTACTGGTACCCCATCTTGTTTGTAACATGAGACCATAAAATCTTGCGATAATTTTCTTGTTTGTTTTCCATTTTACAAAAATTATGATAATAAATTATACCAATGATTCCGGGAAAGAAAGTTTTTACAATTTTTCTTTTATCTTATATAACATATATTTTAGCCGTCTGTGTTTGTTACCAGGCTCATAAATTTAAAAACCGTATCATGGCTATTTACTTTCTGGCATCCTGTCAGATTAATTTGGTAGGTGATTTAATCACTTGTAACTTTGTGATCAATATATTTGCGAACATTATAACATTTCAACAAGCAGTTATCCTGTTTCAATTGTTCCATGTGACCATATTGTGACAGTATGATGGCATGTCAACATTACCCTAGAGTTTAATCTGTACAAGTGGAGTGGATGAACTTTATACAGCCAATGGTTTCAGTCTATATACACAATATTGCAGGATTTGATCATAGATAGGGTTTAAATATGTCCACACTAAAATTAGTTCTGTTTATATGAGGAGTTTTTTCAAAGTTTATCCCTGCTTAAAACTGGGCATGATTAGGGCTGAGGAATGTCCTCCCCTTCACTCTTTCTGCTAATCTCTCTAGGGGCTTTGTTAACAAGTCTACTTGGACTCAACCCATAAATCCTAATCTCTCTAGGGGCTTTGTTAACAAGTCTACTTGGACTCAACCCATAAATCCTAATGTTAATCTTGAGACACTATTCATATTAAACTTTGCTTGGTTGTTCTGGTCTATATGGTTGAAATCACACTTTATATATTCCATTCACACAGCTTGAATAATACACGTAGTTGTCATCTTTAAATTTGGTGTAGAGATTATTTAGCTGAATTAGGTGTGCATGCAGTTTCTATCACACAACAGTATTGTATACTGACATTGTGGGCGCAAACAAAGTATGTACGCGTAGCTTACAAACCTCGGAAAGTCCCTATCAATGTTCCAATAACGCCATCGACTTTCCCAGACAGTTGAAGTGATCGCAAATAAGATTTGTATGAATAATTTATCACTTCCTTGCTCTATACACAATATTCAAATATCCCTGATACAATTTGTAATTTAATCAAAATTGACGCCTGACTGACGGTGAATCTAATTCATTGCACCAGGGAGAAATCAGATTGTTACATAATGTAGCAAATTGTTTTCCTAACATTAGATTATTTGATAACACAAATGGGAAATTCCCCTGCTATATTAAAATTTTCATAGGGACTTTCAGAGGGAGTTTGTTAATTTCCCGTACAAATCTTGTTTGCGTTCGCTGCGAATGTGATGGAATTAGTATGAATAAAAGCTGCATACATGTGTATATTGATTTGTTGTGAAAAATTAACTCCTCATTAAATTCAAATTAAAAAAGATACAAATATACCCTGGTATATAGTAATTAGAGATAATAAGTGTAAACGTGGTTATCTACCCTAAATATGCTAATTTTACCAAGAGACGTCTTATATCATTGAGCGAACCATTAATAACCTTATTACAACCTGCTCGCACAGGAAATACGCTACAAAATAGCTGTTTATATCATGTTGCTATGTGTAAATTTCTCATTCTCCCAACGTCTTTTCTTGAATTATTGTAACTATTATAAGTGTGACGAAGAGCCATGGTTTTTCAAAAAAAAAACCTAATAATGTTATAATTCTGAAAACATAATATCCTCATTTTTATGGTATTGCGTTATTTCCATGTGTATTGTGGGTTTTATTTGTGTAAACTGACATTCTAATACATTTTAAGGGGTCAGAATTTACCAGCCCTATAGTGCACATTCTAAGTTTTGTATTCAACTTTTAGGGCTAAAACGCCCTTCGTTAGAACATAAGAATAAATGGGTGAGGCGCATAACAAAATCAGCAACAATTTTAGTATATTTCAACAAACTAGGGGCAATACCATCCATACACTATATCCACACATAAACAAAGCAAAAATTACAATTTTTTTAGTTGTCATATTTTGCATTTACGCAGATTTTTGAAACAGATGAAAAGGCCGGGTGAGTGGCACTGATGTACCCATCATGTCATCATGACATCCATTTGAATGTTATACTGCAGTGAACATGCATAATTTATTACCATTTTGGCAATAATAATTTCCTATTAGTACTTGTACCAGTTTTCTCTATTTGGTTGATCATACACCCACAATCACTATGAACAGTGTTCACAGTCATGTAATCTCAATACAGTTAGATATTTAAGTGATTTTATTCAGTTTCACAGGTCTTCTGCTGCCAGATGTAAGACATTGCTTCAGCCAATCAAATAGCTAGATGCAGACTAACCATATTAAAATAAACAATACACCCTGACATGACTTTATTTGTAATGTGACGAGTTTTAAGTTTGTTTGTTTCTTGGGCTCATTTGCATATTTAATTAATTCTACATTTTCAATATTAATTTCATTTAAAGGATCCTTCTGATGAAATTGAACGCCTAAGAAGAGAAATAAAATGGTATCGCATGGAGTTAACTAACAGGGAAGGCAACTTTAACAGGGTATTTGCTGAGAATGCCCCAGTACGAATTGACCCAAGAACTGTAGGTAGCTTCGGGCATTTTACTCGTGAAAAGACAGTGATGAGTGGTGACCCAGTAAGCAGTGATTCGGTAAGTTAAATATTCAATTTAAAAACTCCATGTTTGTTTTATGACTTCAAAAGGAATGGAAGAGAAAAAGAAAAATGTCCTGCAAATGTTAGTTTTTTATTGTTATGTTGCTTTTTTAAACAATTTCCCCATAATACAGTATAGATCCTTTGTGGTATCATAATGGTCAGCTCATTACCTGTGAGAATACAGATTTGATTTCATGGTCGGCTGGCCACTATGCAGTGAAAAACAAAGTTCTTTCTGCTTATATGCCAGGTTCACAGATTGTCTAATTCAAAATAGACACAATGTTGTTATCCCCATGTGTTGTTCCTATATTCAGTGCATGTTACAAATGGCAGTATATCCTTATTTCAAGGAGACACAGATTACTATCGGGTTGCTTTAACTTTCTAATCTACAGGGAACTGACATGTACAGGTGTTTGCAATAACAAAAGTTTGAGAAAAATAAAAAACGATAAAAATTATACTGATAATGGTGGTCGATTCAGCAATAGTTTCCATGACAATAATTTAAACAAATTATTATCAGTGGCATATTGGTGTACGTTTTATGTAGTTTATTTATAGAGACACCATTTTGAATTGCGACGTGATTGCGTCAATAAACAAATATGTAGTTCTGAGAGTGTAGTTAAAATGCCGTGGTTGTCATGTGGTTTAGTGTTCGATTTTAAGTCAGATGTAGCGTATACAGTTAATATAAAAGCAATTTTGCTGTGCAACGACTTTGACAGTTGTTGTTCAGGTTTTCATGCAAACAGCAAGGAATTAATTTCAGGCAAAGTTTTGAGATTACAGGAAGTGTTAATAAAAATGAAAATCTAATTGACCAGTGAAATTTTTCAAAATGGCTTCAAAATTTAAACAATGCACCACTTTTTTACAGCAATGTTTGTTTTTTGGCAGTTCATCAATTTAACAGTTCACTTTGTTGTTTCTTTAGATCAGTATGTCAATTGGAGTGACAGGTCGGGAACATATAACAACATCGTCACCAGGCAGATTGCCGGTACTCGGCGTGGACCATCGAAGACCAACCAACGTCAACGTCCTCTCATACAGCAGTACTAGTGGTAGTAATCCCAGAATGTTGTCAAGGGAAAATAAAAGTCGCAAAGTTGTACCAAATCCGTGAAGAGATGATATGTGATACAGTTTTTTACTCATTGTAATATGAGCGAAATGTTCTCGCGTGCGAAAAACACCCAGACAATTTAAACTGTTGTTTATGTATGCTGAAAAACTAGGTAAACTGGAACATGGTGACACAGAGAAAATTGTACATAAACGTTTGGATTTATATGATACTTAAGGACATAATTATTTTGAGAATAACCTGATTATAATAAATATTTTGAGGAAAAGAAAGAAACAAGTTTGTCTTGTATGCCTGAAACAATTTTAGGCAGTACAATTTAGATTGATAGAAAGCCACATTGTTTACCTGTCATTTGGGACAACTGATTTTATTTATGAGTTCCTCTTGCAATAATCACTTAGATTTTGTGGCTGTTCGTAACAATCTCACTCAGATATGACAGGCACAACTGGTTAAGTTCAATTAAGGTCAAATAATATAAGGATAAAGGTACAAACAAAGTGCATTAGAACAATGTCCTTGTACAGCAAAGCATCATGGGATATTGTAAACCATTTAATTTTCATTGGGGCGATTTCAGGTTTGCGCAGCAGTCGGGAAGATAAAATATTAGAAAGTCACAAAGACTCTATCTTGTGGGACTCAAGAGTAATTTACACTGCTACAAATATTTGCAGTTTGACCTGACTTGCGAAAATGTGTCTCTCGGGGCAATTAAACTGGCTTACAAACAAGTGTATGGGATTAATAGATTGAAAAAGATAAAAATAGTCACAAAAACATGGGAATTGTATTTTATGTGAAGAAAGTAAAATAAATAATCTTGCGTAACTTCTTTTTAACTGTGATTAACAGAACAAATAAATGTAAAGTTAGTTTTCAAAGTTTCTGTATTCATCCTAAATAGCAATAATCGGGAAAAATGTTTTGGAAAAGAAAATTGTCACATTCATGTGATTAAATTTATAAATGATTGCAATCTTGCATTTTAAGGGAAGAAGCAATATTTTTTGTTAAGTTTTGTTATAGGACAAATAACCAATTTTATGTATGAGAAATTTGTGAAAAAAATATTTGTATGGCCGATAAGTTCACTAATAGATATAGATATGAATATATATTTTGAATGACAACTGAAGTATTTTAGTGAGTAAACTAGTGAGTAAATTTAAGATACCCATTTGTAAATTTCAGTAAAATTGTATGGTTTTAGTCAAATGAAAGTGAATTTTGTAATAAATAAACCAGAAGTGATAGACAAGTTTTTTGGGTTCCCTGGTTGCTAAGTTATTGAGCTCATAACCATGATAAAAAGAAAGCGAGTGGGTGCAGATTTTATAAATAGTCATTTGTCTGAATTAAAATTATTATTTTATCACACTATGTTTAACAAATTGTATTTTCTCTTGCTTTATATCTGTTTATGAATGAAAAAAAAAATGTTTTTCATATCTCATTAACTTTAAAAGAAACTTGGATGAATAAAAAGTAAAACAAACATTTTTAGTACCAAAAAAATCTGGTATAGTGAAAAACTGCATATCTACATCAATTTGGTTAAAAAATTGACATTGTCTCACATTGAAGGACCTGGAGACCCTGGAATGTGACTATTAAGGCAGTGCAAACCGATTTAAAAAATTGCACTACAAAGCATGTTACTACACATATATGCAGTGCATTATGGGAGATAACCTTCCATTGTATATAATGAAAAGCTGTTATCTCCATGGAAACTCATTAAATTATGTAATTTTTTTTAAAATGTTGTAACAATAATAATATATCACACTTTCATTCCATGTCATCGAGCAAAATATTACGACATGAATAAATAATCTCGTCAGAGAAACCTGTATAAAAATGGCATTTTGACTATTTTTCCCATGATTTTTCAGACCCTGTGTCTCAAAAAATCATCCAGTGAAAACACCACCACCACCATTATTTTTTTTTCATTTTCAGGAGCCTCATAGTATGACATATAATCATCAATTCATCTTGAATCTCATTAAATAAAAATGTCAGAATTTCATATCTTTGTTATTGGATATGCTGTAGACATAGTGTTCATTGCAGTTGGCATCTGTATTTAATGAGAGATGTTGTCTAATCTGTCTGTGTCGTTTATCAGATTTCTATGCAGTCAAAAATCATATTTATTTAAATAGCAGCCACGTATCATGGCAACTGCATAACTTTGTTTTGACATCCTGGTACCATGGTGTAACATTGAGCCGAATTGGTCTAACTGCTACCAAGTACTGCACAGTGTACAGGCTACTGTATATGGCTTAATTATTCGCTGGGTTTTATTTTTCCTTATATTGATGATGGCTAAATGTGCTAAATAAAAACCCAGTGACTATTCATATGTAACAATAGAATTTATTGTTTCCTTCACAGACCACAGTGAATTTAGAACCCTGTAAGTATTCTGGCAAATTTGCTACAATTAAATATTTCACTCTAAACATACTCTGGTAATGATATGGCCTGTATTTGTAGGCTATGATTTGCATATTCATGAGTAAACTTCAAAAAAGCAAATGGCTCATGAATCAGCGCTTGTTTTTGAATGAGGGTTCTTGTTATAGATTGTTTGTTCAATAGTAATGAGAGAGATACGCCAATTGGTGCTTTGGAAATTACTAAATGCTACAATTTAGGCATATTTTACGCTAATGTTTATACACACCTTATGTACTGCTGTATACTAGTAGTACATTTCAAACTATTTGCATAAATACAAGTCATGTGACCTGACATATACTCCTTGTTCTTTTGGTTCACAATTATATAAAATATTTTGAATACAAATTAAGCCTATGTACATGTATGTATGTTGATTATTTTGATTACTGTAATTAATAAATATGTTATTTTGATATACTGCGTCTCCCGTGGTAACCAACTCATAAGACAATTATCTGTGTATTATTGCAGACAGATACGAAAATGTTGCAATAGGCCTTGCTTGACCCACAAAAGTCACACATCCTGGTGATTTTTTGAGGAGGAGGGGGGGGGGATTCACTAGCTACCCAGTAAGTGAATTACGAGTTAAATTTCACAAAAAGTGTGAAAATAGTCTAATATTGATAATTATTGCAGTTATTGTACAACAAAACTGCCAGAAATTACCAGGATGTAAGTTATGAAATGCTTTTATTAAATATCCCTGTAAATGTTTGATTATTTTTTGAATGTAACTGTTAATATACTTAATAAATAAAATATTATTTGCATAGTAGTTTTGTTACTGAATTGTTTCTATATATCATCCGGAAGACTAATATTTTAAGAACAAATGCTCTAAAACTGAAATATTGATATACATCTTTTTTTTATATATATATTTTAAATCAATACAGTAGTAAAGTCATTAATTTATTAACTAGTCATTGCCAATCAAGTTTTCGGAATCCAATAAATACTTTTTCAAATTTAATATTCAGTTCTGAATTTCGCCGTTTCCTTGCTGAATGTTAAAACGTAACCGTTGGTTCGTGTAATTGAAACCCATGCATTGACGTATGTACTTCAATGCTTATCGGTTCACTACCTGGGCTACTTGACCACCAAGTTGTTTATTTGTTTGTATGAAGCATGTCAGTAATTGATTGCTATTAGAGTTTTCATTATACTGATCATTTTATCTAAAACCACTGATGTTGATTTCCATTTAAAGGTTCGGTGCATATATTGATTCACTTTTTTTTCGACCATTGACGTCTAGTGGACCATTAATTAAATTTGCTGGGCATTTTACAGTGAAACTGCCTCTCTGTGACGACGTGAAAAAAATCTTGTTTGTATATCATACATGTCATGTGAAACAAACAAGGCGTATAAAACGCCATCTCTCACAAGCACGTGCTTAACAATGACCAAACTGGTTCTTAATTGTTTTAGATTCTTGTCACATGAGGGCACTGTTTAATTTGTAAACTATCAAATTATCGAGGTAGATTTGGGGGGTAGCTGGTACATGTTTCTGGAAATAAAAACGACATTTTACGTTTTTACAGGAAATAAAATGAAAGTATAGTAAAAATAGGTTTTTACACTTTACAGATATAAAGCAAATTCCTAATTACATTTTACCTTTTTATAATATTTTTGATAATTTGAATTTAAGAATCAAAATTAGAAATTACGACATTTAATTTGGAAAATGCTTTATACGCTTACAAAAATTAATATCTTTGTACAAATTACGGACGAATAAAATAGCTGATTACATTTTACACCTTGTCCATGTCTACGAATTTACGTTTTTTTATTTATTTAAATTACATTATTACGAAAATAAAAACAATTGATTACAGCTTACGAAAATACCCCTTGCCAACCCTCAAGATTATGTAACCTTGAAAGAGGGTGCAACTAAAAGGCAGTCACGGAGAAAGCTGGCAAGAATGATGTGCGATGATACCACGCTCTAGCAAGTTTTGTCTAATTTGGTTTCCCTGGGCGTAAATATTTCTGAAAAAATGACATAATCCATCGTTCGATAAGACTTAGACCTAAAAATGACGTGTGTGGTTGAGTCATAGACCATCTGACAAAGGAATTAACAGTTGGTCCGATTTTTAAAGTGGCCTGCACTGCTGTAATGTGTAACCCCACAGATAGAACGATGCTTTGTGTGTTGTGAATACAAATTCTTGTGTTGGATTGCTTGACGCACCGTTGGTAACAGCTATTTTTATGGACTTTTTATGCGCCCTCATACAAAAAAACAACAACAATTCCTTTCTGTGCCACCGAAGGCGCTGTTGTCAGCTGCTGATGAAAGTCAAAGATTTTAAAGATGGCGAGCAAGATTCGGATTTTTTCAAAAATGTCCCACCCATCGTCTGTGTTGACGCAGTTTAGGCGTTATCAGTGCAATGGTGCATTCTGTGACATGAAACTCGTTGTTGGAGATCATAGATTCAACGCTCATCGCATCGTTCTGGCCGCTTGCAGCCCGTACTTCGAGGCGCTATTTCGTAGCAGCCTACAGGAATCTCAAGCAGGCAGCGTTGAGTTGATCTGTACGACTGGGGTTGGAATGGAGGCGATTTTGAAATACGTATATACCGGCGAAGTTGAACTGACGGTGGACAACACACACGATATTTTGAGGGGCGCTGATCACCTTATGATCGATGACTTGAAGGAATTCTGTGAGATTTTCTTGCAGACAATGTTGTCACCTTCGAACTGCACGAGTTACTTGGAGACGGCGGAGTTGTACAATCTGTCCCGGCTACAGGACGATGCCCAGCGTTTGATAGAAAGTCGTTTCAGCGAATTTCTTAAACAGAATGAACAGGAACTCTTAGAGTTATCGTTTGAAAAAATATTGTCATTCTTGTCAAACGAGAGAATTGTGGTGAGTAGGGAAGAGGGCGTTTTTGAGTTTGTTGTCAAGTGGGTCACACATGATGAAAAGCGAATTGAACAGTTTCCCAAATTGCTGATGTGTGTGCGGCTGATTCATATTGAGAAAGACTACTTGTTCAACTGTGTGCTGAATGAGAAATTAGTCACACAAAACGACACGTGTAGAGAGTATGTCAGCGAGGCTGTGCGCTTTTATATGTCTGACAATCATACTATTGAAAATCACCGACCAGGAAGACTGGTTGACGTGGTCGTACTTGCAGGGGGCAACATCAGCAGAAGTGCACAGTCAAGACGTACAATATCAATCGACCATACAGCAACTGATACTGTATTCGGTTATGTGGTCTGCGAAGATAGATGGGTACAGCTACCCAGCCTCCCGGGTAAAATATCTTGGAGACCCGTGGTTTGCAGAGACAACAAAATCATCATCATTGGTAGTTCGCAGGAACGGTGTCTGAAAAATGTATATATGTATGACCCATTGCTCAATAAATGGACAGTAATGCCTGAAACAAACCATGACCATAAATTAGGCTACGCTGTCATTTGTAATGGTAAACTATACGCTATTGGCGGCTACCCGAGCCCCAGGTCCCTAGAAATGTTCAATGACGATGAAAACCGCTGGGTGGAAAAATCCCCAATGCTCAGCGACCATTACATCTTTAAAGCCACGGTTATCAACAACAGATATATCTATGCTTTTGGGATCGAAACCGCCGGACAGATTGAGTACTATGATACACTGACCGATCATTGGACTATTGAGCCCCATGGGGATTGGAATCAACTGAATGCTGACCCCACATGGCAGCTCTATCCACCGATAGTGAGAGAGACGCCAGACACGATTGAAATTACCCGTCTGGGTAGCAGGTGTATTGCTATCAACAAATGTGAGAGGGAGATAACCAGCATTGATTGTCCAAGATTTCCAATTCCCGATATGTCCAGACGTCATCACGCTAATATTTGTGACATTCAAGGCGATATTTTTATTTGTTGTGGTAGAAAATATGCAGCCAATACAGATGTGCCTCGTCCGGACGATTCTGGTTACATTTTTAATACGTCTAGTGGAGAATGGAAAAGCATTGCCCCAACTGTGCAGCGAATAAGTCATGCTTCCTGCGTTGCTGTCAAGATCCCTTATTATTTTGTTAAGGAAATGTAGATTACAGTAAATTTCAGAATACACATTTTCATGACTCGGTGATATTTTGTAGCAGGAAAACTTCACATTGGCTTTCATGAAATTTTGTCTCTTGAACACCATTAAACCATCATGTAATGAAAATTATTATCTGCAAAAATTAAACAATTAATTATTTATTTGGGTAACCTTATAGAGGCAACTGAAAATGTCCATAATTTGTTTATTTAGTTTAAACGTCATGTATCTACCACTATTACATGGGTATATCGTGATACAGGGAGAGGGGGGATACTGTTGGATGATTGGATCCTATCTGTTTTCTTGATTACTAGTAGCCTGGTTACCAAAGTAATGCTCTGTTGATTAACCTGGTTACCCGTGTACCGTTCTGTTGATAGTCTGGTTACTCAGGTATGGTTCTGTTGATCGCCTTGTTACCTGAGTACCGTTCTTTTTATAGTCTGGTTACTCATGTACCGTTCTCTTGATAGTCAGGTTACCAGAGTACCGTTCTGTTGATAGACTGATTACCCGAGTACCATTCTGTTGATTAGCCTGGCTACCTGAGTGTCATTTTTTTGATTAGCCTGGTTACCATAGTACCGTTCCACTAATTACCCATGCTCCAGTATCGTCTGTACTTCCTGCTAAAATTTTGCTCTCTAATCAATAATAAATAAATAAATTAATTGTAATGTCATGAAAAATGGCATTCCATATTTATCAGTTAATCATTGTCACAATCATCCACTGACTGTGGAAGTGAAATCTTGTCAATAAGCCTAGATGTAAGGCGGGAGTTGGTAACCAGCAGAACAGTTGTCAAGTTCATAATTCGATGGTAAGCCGAATTAAAATTGTTCACAATGGGAACGAATCATAGCTTTGCATTATAACATAATAGTGTAAACCTCTATTCAAAAGTGAATTCATTTCAACAAAAATTTAACTAAATTTTAACACAATCATCTATATGTATACAAGTGTGTAGTTTACAATCTATATGAATACTAGTGTGTAGTTGGCAATCTATATGAATACATGTGTGTGGTTTACAATTTATGAATACAAGTGTGTAGTTTACAATCTATATGAATACATGTGTGTGGTTTACAATCTATATGAATACATGTGTGTGGTTTGAAATCTATATGAATACATGTGTGGTTTACAATCTGTGAATACAAGTGTGTAGTTTACATTCTATATGAATACAAGTGTGTAGTTTACAATCTATATGAATACAAGTGTGTAGTTTACAATCTATATGAATACAAGTGTGTAGTTTACAATCTATATGAATACAAGTGTAGTTTGCAATCTATATGAATACATGTGTGTGGTTTACAATTATATGAATACAAGTGTGTGGTTTACAATTTATGAATACAAGTGTGTAGTTTACAATCTTATATGAATACATGTGTGTGGTTTGAAATCTATATGAATACATGTGTGGTTTACAATCTGTGAATACAAGTGTGTAGTTTACATTCTATATGAATACAAGTGTGTAGTTTGCAATCTATATGAATACAAGT